ATATGTATCATTACAGAAGAACCCGTCCAGAAGACCTACACAATTTTTTTCTTTTTAATAAGACAAATAATCTTACACATTCTGAAAACAAGATTATTATTCTTACACAATCAGTTCTTGTTTAGTAAATCAGTCTCAAAACAAGATCAAAAAGACTTTTTGGCTGAATATAAGATTTTAAAACTTGGTTAGATGGACATTTTTTGCAGTGCAAAGTTTTTGCTAATCTAATTAGCTGTGGCTGCCATTTTGACTGGACTTTGACATCAATTCATACATTCATGAGATATTTTGCTAACAGATAAACAGGATGACCTCCAACAATTAATGCCAAAGTTTAGAGCAAATATTGTGCAAAATAAGTAGCACTTAAAATATGTTTCAGCTACAGTTCCAACAAATATTAGCACATTTGTGAATTTTTTTTTAAGATCAGTCAGCTGTCTTCTTGAACCAGGTTGGCTTCAAATGTTATTCAGCTGTAGGTGTCAATCCAGTAATTATTTCTTGGAAATTTCATTTAAATTTGCGATTGTGAGATATGTTGCAAATTGAACACACAGAGCAAAAACATGTCCCCCTCCTTCCAGCAGTGGGTGATGAACATCCAGTCACCTGATGAATATCTTTATTACAATAACTTTTACCACCCACTCTGCAGCCTCTTTGACTCATTTCTCCCAGAATCGGATGCAGGTCTTAAATGTGTCATGGAAAAACCGTTTGCACTGAGTGATTTGGTGGGTCAGTGAGCTGAAGTGGATTGTTTCAGTTGTTTTTGGCTTTGTTGCAAGTCTAGAGTTTACTTTCCCCTCCGGTGTAAGCTAACATTCAGTAAATACTTTTTTTAATGGAGCAGAGGGATCCAGTTGTAGTCCCACCAGCAGGCTTTCCTCTCTAAAGTGACATCCGAGGCTGGAAACTGTGGCTTACACGCTGCCTGAATCTGCGCTACATGTTCCACATGTCGAGGCTGCTGTGCCGGTTCCTTACTGCAGAGTGATTAGGACGAGAATGTTTAGATTTAACCAAGGCCGTGCCACCAGATCTGGAAAGGACGGATTAAAATATCGTGCAAAGTCTGCACTCGCTAAGTGATCTTTCCCCCCCGCAGTGCAACCATGTGTGAAATTTATCGCTCTGATAAATATTAACATCCTGGTTTGAAGTGATTAGTACAAGGATGTTTTACCAATAAAAAAAAAGAAAAACACATGAAAAACAGTCATTGTACAAATGAAATAATGGATTTAATTTCCCTCAAGTTACATAAAATTAATCTTTGAAAAAAAATGTATTTAAGTAACAAACTATTGACCTTCTTTCCTGACATATTCAACCAGTTTTGTTGTATAAAATTCTTAAAACCTGCTTCCTTTTAGAGCTGAGAATCCCTAAATGCTCAAGTTTTAATTTAGTTAAAACTTTCAAACGTCCAAATTTCAAATGCAATTCAAATATAATCATCTGCTTTTATTTGAACAAAAGGTAGAGAAAAACATGCACATTCCTAAGACGCTGGCTCTTTTTTGACATCACAATATTAAAGTTTTCATCAACAAGGTGCTGGAAAAAAAACTAAATATTAAAAAGGATATCATGCCTAAATGAAGGAGAATATCTGCTGATTGCTTTAGGCACAGTTTAAGCTGAAAAGACTTCAATAAACTGACGGCATCTTTTAGTTTACTTTTAAATACAGAGTTTCTGCTTTTACTGAACAGTAAATTTAGACAGTCTGTAATCATAAATGCAAAATACACTTTAGCTGGGATATCACACATCTGAAACCTAATGTTCTTAAAATGATCTAAAATAGGGGAAATGTTCAACTTTGAGTGTCAAGACAGCTGCTATTTTCTCATACTTGTAATTATTCTGCACTGTTTTCAAATTATTATGTGAAATTTAGCTCAAAGTTAAGTCAAACCCCTTGATTAACATTCCTCACATGCTCAGATTTAAGTGCAGGTTAATTTCTGTGCATCTTTTAACAGTAACTACACGACACAACACATCTTTGCAGCCTAAAAAAACGGAAAAAATACACATCATACTGTGACAAAATCCACAAGTATATCATGTGAAATGATGTTGGAGTGAACAACTGTCTGCAAGTTTGTATAAAAGTTTTAAAAAGTTTGAAGTCTTAATTAAAAAACTTACCTGTGGCTCTCTCAGCTTCCCTGCTATAAGCTGATTATGTTCCTCTCCAACACCAACCCTGAACTCTTCCTCCCTTTCAGCTTCTGAGTAGCTGTAATGTGGGCATTCCTGCACTCAGACCAAACAATAAGGGATGTGCTCCCTGCCTGTGGACCATTACATCATCAGCATGTCCTTATATGGGGCTCTGCGTTCGTGTGTGTGCGTGGGGGTGTGTGTGCTAGCTCATATGAGGAAGAGAATGTTGAAAAAACTAAAAAAAAAGAGGGGTAGGTATTTCTTGACGTCTGTAACATGTGAAATATTTGCCTGAGCTGTCGATGCTCCGGAAGGCAGGGCAGGAGGGACAAGAGCTCCAAGTTACAGCGATTCCTTCTGTCTTCTGTCAAATTAAGTCACTTATTGAGCTGAGGAGGTAGAAACAATAATCAGCTCGCAAACTCAATATGAACGTCTTGGAGGAGGATTTGTAACGGAGATCAGTGCTTGTTGGACATGAGCTCTTACGTAAAAACATGTCCTCAAACCACACGGAACTAAGAGGTTCTTTTACATTTAGTTTGTTTAGGTTTTGATTCTATAATCCAGATTATATCAAAGTCTGTTTAGTTTTGAGGATCATTTCAACAGATTTACAAAAACAAAATGCCTCAGGCTTTAACTAGTAACATGACTTATTTCACGCACAGTTTGGTTAACAAACAACCAGTTCTTTAACAAATCTGGCACAAGACTTAGCATTCCTTGAAAGGATGCATATCACCCACCTACCTCCTTGTTCAAACCTCAGAAATGTTTTGCACAATTTCAAAACAATAATGATACAGTGATGATGTTGTGACATGTCACGTGATTTTGCATGATTAGTTAGCGCTCAGAGTAGGGGTTGGGGACAACTCTCAGTTACTACTGCACCAAATTTTAGTTCAGCTTCTGTAAAGTTAAGCTCAGTGACTTCAATTCAATTCAATTCAATTCAATTCGAAAATACTTTATTGATCCCAGAGGGAAATTAGGTGACTTATGAGATGTGTCAGGACAGACAGACACACAAGGCTCTTAAATAAGA